AGTGCTTCAATGTAGTTTACAGAATAACTTCTGCCGCCATATTCCACCAACTCACATTTAAATTTCTTCCTCGCACAATTCGCACCTGCTTTCTCAGATTATCAGGCATTTCGATGTAATATCTAAAAATTTAAATATTCACTATATATAAGTAACCAGGGAGAATGCAAGAGTAAATTAAAAGTTATTTCCACATATCAGCATTGTCCTCAATATATTGATCTATTTTATATAAGTCTTTATATAACATTTTTCAGAGATGTTGTTGTAAAATTTTATGCGTTTACATAATAAAGATTTTCTAGTTTTAGGCAATCTAAATTCAGGAACCTCTAGTGAATTACCTCGACCCGTTCTACATGAGACAATCCATTATTTATTTGAAATTGATTGTAGGTTCAGGATCAAATGAATTGTAAGTTCGCGTGTCAATTAAATTTTATATAAAAACAACGGGAAGTTATTACTAATTATTGGAGATACATTCTAAGAGATGACACCGTTGACATTTGTTGAGCTTGTTACCATCCCGTTGAGTAACTTAGGCGTGTCATCTCCAATTTTGCGGCGCTATCTATTTCTGGATATTTTCACAGACGAAACCTAGTAGCCAAGATTCTACATCAGAAGCTCGTTCGCGTTTTGTCTCGTGGATCAAAACTGCCGTATTAACAGCACTATCCGGTAGCCGTTGCCAGTAAATAACTGCGACAGGCTTTATTAGGCCATCGTCATAGATAGGATTATTCTTGCGAATAAGCCCGATATTGTGTTAGTGGACTGGACACAGTGAAGGCTATTTTTATGATCGACATTAACATTCTCTATGAAAGCCGAAACCGAGAGACAGAGCGGTCGACACTTACCATCAGGAAAGCCGCGAGTCTTCTATAAAAAAATAAAACGACCGCATTGTCCGCCGGTTTCATTTCCTTTTCCCCTAACCCTCAACTGTTTGGTCTCCCATGCTGAGTGCATCCCCCTTTTCCCAAAAGAGGGTCGCTTCAGATTCGGCAGAGAGGCCTATAACCTAAGCCAATGCCAGTCTCACAGGTGGTGTTTAGTGGGTACACTTAGGGTGGTAGGATAGGATAGTCACAGTGAGTCCCACATAACCACGACAGCCGGCTGTTGTGGTATGCATAAAGCATTCACCACCTCCTCGCGTTAACGGGATAGCCGTTTTTAATTGCTTCTGGGCGCAAAAAAAGGGGACGATAATTTCGTAGGAAAATGTAAAGCTTAATGTTTCTTTCCGTATTATAAGTTATATTTTATACTAGCTGTTCCCCGCGACTTCGCCCGCTTGTTATTTGGGGTTTTAATTTTTTTTGCGCGGAACCATAATTCTTTTTCAAAATAAAAGTAGCCTAAGTTACTCCTTGTGACATCAGCTATCTGCCAGTGAAAATCCCGTCAAAATCAGTCCAGCCGTTTTATAGATTAGCCGAAACAAACAGACCGACAGACAGACAGATGGACAGACAAAATGTTTAAAAATTGTATTTTTGTTATTAGTACCCTATATACTTTCATATGCATTTAGTAAAAAGTTGTAATTTTAAAATTACAAACAGACACTTCAATTTTATTTATTTGTATAGATTAATTAGATTAGAAATGAATGAACCAAACTATAAATATAACTAAAAGTAGAAAAATTTAAAAAAATAATTATAAAGCACAAAAAATTAAAAATCAAACCACTGAAGCATTGTGTTGTGTATTAATATAATACTCTAGAAAATGATAAACTATTATTTACAACTAGTTTGCCAATTAACTGACATTGTGTAACAAAACACTTATCTCTTTATACATGGTAGAGTCATGCTGCAGCTATATTATGGTTGTAGCACGAATGGGTCGGCTCTACCGGGGAAGGACCACGCTCTCACAGAATACCAGCGTAAAATAGCAGCTTAATGCAGCTGTGTTTCGTATGGTGAGTGTAGAGAACAAGAGACCCTTTTTACTGGAATCGAGGCATTCCATCTTAGTCCTCACGGGTGACAACGCATCTGCATTTTGATTCTAAAACACTTACCATCAGGTGGACGATGTGCACGTTTGTCACCCTTTTCCTATAAAAAAAAATCTCAGTCACAACTAGCGACATCTGTGTGTGAGTGGAAGATCCCTTATTCTTTTAAGTCGGCTTTTACTTTTTATTAAAAGTTCTTTATGAAGGATAATTCACGTACCAATCTTAATGTAGTAGAGAGAAAAGCACATGCCATTATTGGTTACGAAAATTCACGGTCAATTAATGAACTACCAGAGAGGTTATTTTAAAAAAAAAACGTTACCCCCACACTAGGATTTTCTCCTGTGTCGTGAGGGCAATTTACAAACGTAAATTGCACAAGGACAAACATCTAGAACCGGAACAATTATTTGTAGGCCATACAAATACTTGTTCCGTGCGGGATTCGAACCCGCGGCCCCCAGCGCAACAACTGATTGCTAAGCCACTGCGCCACGGAGCCGTCAAGTTTTAGTACACATATTTACGGTAGAAGGAAGCTATAATATGTGCATTTGGTTTCTTAAGTATTTAAAAATGGGTGATACGTGAAAAGGGACAGTGTGAATATTTATTTATCTAACCTAACATGAAAAATGAGTCATTTACAAAAAATATAAAACAACGAAAATTTGTAGGACGAGATGGAAAGCTGAGTTAATCAGTCCCACTACCAGACACGCTTTCGTAAAATAAATTAGGTGTATGGTGGGCACGACAAACATTTTAACGTTATCATAAACTTTTTAAACACATTTTATAAGTCCTAATTAAATTTAAAAATATAATTTGCATACATTTTTGTAATCCCCTTTTTATTTCCTTTATTTTGATACCCTACACTCGATAGGTGCGGTTACTCTTTGTATTATTAACGTATTACTATTTTGCGTCAAAATCCGCCATTTTTCTTCAAACAGCTATCTAAGGACATTTGGGTTTATAAGACGAATATAACGATTACTTACCTGTTGATATCCTTCCAGCCGTTTGCAAGATACGAGGTAATAAAAAAAGTTACAAACATACAAAATACGTCAAAATAAGTCGAGTAAAAAAAGTACTGATTACTAATATTTCCTTTAACCACTCCTGGTAATCTTAAAATGCTTGTGTTAGGTTAGGTTAGGTAAGAAGCGGTCCCCCCCGAACGGGTTCCCGCCTTGTCGTGGCGGGGGGGCTTAGTAGCCGTGGCTTGGTCACCCACGGTGAACAAAGAGGAACCCCTTGGCTGGCCCGTGGTGTAGGGCCGGCCCGAGGTGGCCACTCCGAGTGGGCTTGGCGAGCCCACTTCGGATGTGTGTCGGGGGGCTGCGGTGAGAGGGGAGTCCGCACCCTCTACCGCTGCAGCCGAGGTAGAGTCGCGGAGGAAGAGGAGTGTTGGTATGGCGATGCGCCACTCGCCCTATCCTCCGCGACTCAGACGGGGCCGCACCGTCAATTGATGCGGTGGTGGCGGGGCTGCGGGGGGAGAGGAGTGTCGGTATTGCGAGGCGCCGCTCTCCCTACCCTCCGCAGCCGAATCTTGGTTGGCGGCGGAGCCATAGACCAGATCCGCCGCTGGGGTCAGGAAGGCTGGTGCTTCTGAGTGCTAGTTTTTCCTGGCCCCATGGCCTTCGCGCATCGGCCACGGGGGTGTCCGATGCGCATGTGAAATTGGAGGCCGAGGAGGAGGGCGCGCCATGTGTTCTGGTGCGCCTTACCTGAGGAGGAGATGGGGGAGGAGTAGTCCTCTCCCGAGGAGGGGCCGCCATGGGGCGGCCAGCGCAGGTGGGGCCGCGGAAGTGTGCGAAAGCGTTCCCGTGGCCCTGCCAATATGCGACGAGGGTGGAACACCATGGGGTTTTAGTCGGTGCGAGTCCGACATAACCCGTCCTTGCCCCCGCGAGGCGGGTATGCGTAGGCATTTCCCCATGTAAAAAAAAAAAAAAAAAAAAAAAAAAGGTAAGAAGCGGTTCTTTGAGTCGACCTTCCTGCTGGCGTAAATATCGTGTGCTATGCCGACGACACATTGGTGATCGCCAGCGGGATAATTTTCGAGAGGGCCAAGGATCTCGCCGGGTGCTATGCATAGACTGCTGCCCAATCTAGGGGATCGACGGAGGAAGTACTTCGCTTCTATGCGGGAGTTATACGGTCCGTAGCTCTGTATGGAGCGCCTGTATGGGGGAAAAAAGGCTGGCCATCCGACGCTTTAGAAGTGAAGTCTGCAGTGTTCAGTGGAGGATGGCCATACGGATCGTACTAGGATACCGCACTATACCTTTGAGGTGGTGACAATCCTGGCTCGCTTCCCACCACTAGATATACTAGAGGAAAAAAACGCGACGGTGTACACTCGAATCCATACCCTCCACCAGAACGGTGGTAGTGAGCCAGAAGAGGCGCTCGAATCGACTCGAACGACAAAACGCTCTGGCGTAACCATCGTGGAGTTTTAGCCGATAGGAGCCCGGCATAACCTTCTCGTTGCTTCTGCAACGAATGGTATCCATGAGAATTTTCCCAGGAAAAAAGAAAAAAAAGGGTTAAGTTAGAACCCAAGACCTTTCAAGTTCGGTGTTCGCACTTTGCAATTAGGGTATTTAGTATTTACTATACTCGTACTCTCCATATTCACTCGTATGATATATTAAATCGTTTGATATATTAAAACACAAAACGTTTTGACTGAGAAAAACTTCGATAAATTTGAACAAGTTACTACGAACAGAGATTTATTGGTTCGAAGGATTTTGTGGAAAAGAAAACTTCTTGTAAACAAACAAGTAGCTACACTAAAAATGGGTAGAACTTTTGCGAACAACGTCACTAACTTCGTCTAGTAGTATCCTCTTCGTTCGTCTTGTTTTTCATTTCATATTTCATTAATTAAAAGTATTATTTAATTATAATATAGTTATTAGTAAATTAAGGTATATAGATATAAGATTTCATATATTATAAAAATATAACCTGTGATTTTTTTTTGCAGGAGCTGTCAATTCATGCAGTGTCCACACACGAGCTTTTAAAGCCAAAAGAAGAACCTACGTATTCTCTGGCACCGTCCACTAATCTATGTTCAGTGAGCCTACAACATCCAGGTGAGTAGCTCAGTTCAGTATTTGCTTTATTGTACCTGTATAGTCGTTATAAAACATATTTGTATACTAAATAGCAATTAGCAATTCTGTGACGTTAGATTCGCCCTCGCCCTCACGTACACCTCACATAATTAATGAATGATCCCTTTCGGTTGAGATCGCCCATTTTTTAAATTTAGCCGTTGTTTACAAAATAAAAACATATCAGTGCATTTTGGGGAAGTGATAACTAGGTATTTAATTAATAAATTTTGTTAAAATAGGTAATGATAACATTAAAAATAAAAAGGATTTAGAAATATGCTATAACACAATGAAATTATTTTAATCTCTCGCTCACCATTCCAATCTAAGCAATGGGAAGTGATCACAAGTTAAAGTATTCAAAAATAAGAGTATTGCACATTAGGCTTATGATGCTTCCGATTTTTAAATCACTTTGTTATTTGGTTATTTGAGAATTTCTAAAGTACTAAACGTAGTTTTTTTATAGAATAAGGACCCAACGAACAGTCCACCTGATGCGTTGTCACCCCAGATTACTAAGAAAGAATACCTTTGCAAAGGGTCTCAGGTTCTCTACAGTCACAAAGCAGCACAAAGTGAAATACAGTAACATTAAGCTGCTATTTGACGCTGGTATTCTGTGAGAGCGTGGTTATTCCACGGTCGAGCCGATCTATTTGTGCTACACCATAAATTAATTATTTTAATTTAATATACTACAATATCTAGTTAAAACTGTACTTAGTTTTTAACTAATCTCAGTAATATAATAATATAGTATAGTATCTGAGAAAAGAATAGGTACCAAGTTATATTCTACCGACCTCCGAGGGAGCATTTCAATTCATCTACATACATTATATATATATATATATATATATATATATATATATATATATATATATATATATGTTCGTTCTTCTATTAAGGTGTTAGAAATGATATCATGTAAGGTTACTTAACCGACTCATTTGATTTATACCAATAGAGTTTACTTTAAAGTCTGTTTTCATTAATAGAGACAAAACTGTATAGCACTAATAACTGTACAAAACAAAAACGAGTTGCTAGTCCATACATATAAAACTAACGAGGTCATTTCTATACATTGCATATTATAATCTTAGACGAGCAATCTCTATGGAAGCAATTCATATAAATATTTGTATAAATATATAACTGTTTGAAATGTATATGTAATATAATGTAGTAGGTATATGTAATTGGTTTTGCGGAAACGGTTCTAACGATTTGGATGGAATTTTGTATCTATATTTTTACTTTAGGTAAGCGTCACCCGTTTTAAAACTTTTTAAACGCCTAGCTAAGTGCGGTCGCACAGGAACTTTTGAAATAAATTAAGAATTGAAAAAAAAATTTCAATGCTTAATTCAAACCGGTCATTATTTATAATAATTTCATTTGCTACTTACATTAGACCATTGTTTCGCCTAGCTTTTATGAAAAATATAAGTTACGTTGTTTATTTTATATAAATATGTTCTTAAGCTTAATATGTTGTTTGAAGAAAATTTAAGTTACCATATTATATATATATATATATATATATATATATATATATATATATATATATATATATATATATATATATACATTACTTTGCTAGCCACTGATTTTTCCTTTCTAGCACATTTTCAAGTCAAAAACAACAGGTCCTTTGAATATTTAATTCATTAGACGATTATAGTTGCATGAACCTTTTACCAAGTTGTTCCCCACTGAAAGACTAAGTGTATTAAAGAGACTAGGTGCTCGGTTGAATAGTCCGTTACATCGTTTCACGTTAAATTTATAGCAAAAGTCAACGATGTGTGTGAGAAAAAATCACACGTAACGCTCTAAGTTGAAAAAAGATCTGCCGAAATTGTCAATCATTATAATCCCAAAGAAGAAAATTATGGAAAAGAGATGACAATAATAACATTTATTACATGATAAAATGTAATACATCAAAAAAAAAATTCCCCTAAATATACCTTAGAAATAAAACCTAAAAATAACTAAATCCTGTCGAAACACTCATACACATTTTAAAATTGGAAGTTGATCGATGTTTAACCCTAGTAATAATATGTTACTTATAAATAGACTCCTTAAGTAATTCGATACGGGTTAAGGGTCCCGGAGAACGTGCGGATTCAAGCAGGGCCACGCGAGCTAACACATTACGCCTAAGGCCAAAAACAGCCAAGCAGAGTATATCGAATTGCCATTGCCGGAATTAAAACGAGTATCTTAATTGTATGTTTGTACGTATGTACGGTCCCTATACATTTACAGAGAATACCGCTGTTATGTATTCTTCACTGTTTAAATCATTAAATCATACATAGGAGTACTGAGGAGAAAATCCCTTAATTACTGATCCGTTGGGCTATTCCCAGAACATATTCAAAGTTTGTCAATAAACAAGTTTAAAAGTTTTATTAATGAAAAACTGTACAAAAAGGGTTATTATAATATCAAGAAATACATGAATGAAAATAACGCCTGGGAATAAGGTGATCGCCACCATGTTGTTGTTGTTAAGTGAATTATGTTTGAAGAAAAAAGTCCCGCTGGGTTTTTTGCTGGTTCTTCTCAGGACAGAGGTATTTTCCGAACCAGTGTTAAATAAAAAATGACTTTCAATAAGTATTTTGTAATAATCAATATTGAATAAAAATTATTCTATTTTTTACGTGGTAGAGCCATGCTGCAGCTATATTAGTAGTATAGTTGTAGCACGAATGGGTCGGCTCGACCGGGGAAGGACCACGCTCTCACAGAAAACCAGCGTAAAATAGCAGCTTAACGCTGCTGTGTTTCGTATGGTGAGTGTAGAAAACCGGAGACCCTTTTTACTGGCAAAGAGGCATTCCATCTTAGTCCTCACGGGCGACAACGCATCTGCATCTTGAGTCTTTATTGAGGATAGATGTAGATGTCTATGGGTCACAGTAACCACTTACCATTAGGTGGACTGTGTGCTGGTTTGTCACCCTATCCTATAAAAAAAATTCTATTCTTCTATTCTATTCTATGTTGGATCAGTAAGCTGAAGTGGCAATGGGCCGCCCATATAGCTCAAAGACCCGACAACAGATGGGGTAGAAAGGTAATCTAATTTGTCAGCAATTTACTTCTAACTAGCTGTTCCCCGCGACTTCGCCCGCGTGTAATTTAGGGTTTTAATTTTTTTTTTGCGAGGAACCCTAATTATTTTTCGAAAATAAAAGTAGCCTAAGTTACTCCTTATGACATCCGCTATCTGCCAGTTAAAGTCCCCTCAAAATTGGTCCAGCCGTTTCGGAGATTAGCCGGAACAAACAGACAGACAGACAGACACCAATTTTAAACAGTGTATTTTTGTTATAAGTACCGTTTATACTTTCATATGCATTTAGTAGAACGTTGTAATTTTGACATTACAAACAGACACTTCAATTTTATTTATTTACTAGCTGTTTCCCGCGACTTCGCTCTTGTGTTAGGGTTTTTATGTTTTTGCGCTGAACGCTAATTCTTTTTCTAAAGTAAAACTAGCCTAAGTTACTCCTTATGAAATTAGCTACCTGCCAGTGAAAGTTCCGTCAAAATCGGTCCTGCCGTTTCGGAGATTAGCCGGAACAAACAGACAGACAGACAGACAAAAATTTTAAAAATTGTGTTTTTGTTATAAGTACTGTATATACTTTCATATGCAATTAGTAAAAAGCTGTAATTTTGACATTACAAACAGACACTTCAATTTTATTTATTTGTATAGATATAGATTTGTTCTTCTATGTAATCTTCTTAGGGTTAAATACTGATTATAATATTCACTGCAGTTTAGTTTATAGATTTGCCGTTAAATGTTATGCTTAAAAACCATGTAAAAACGTCATCGGAATAGATACCTTTGTATAAAATTGTTATAATTATAAACACACGGTTCATAATAATTACTGTTGCAAAAAACTTGGCTTTATGAGGCCTATTTGGGCAAAAAAATCATCACTCAGAAGTTTTAAGTACTGCAAGCTAGTGCTTGACTAATAATCCACTTTTAACATTTTCTAAAAGGTTGTATTTGCATTATATCCATCCAAAGTCAACTAAATGTCCATCATGAGCAAATGCTCTTGTTACTTGTTCGGGCTACGGTTCAGGTTCAAAGAATTAGAAGAAGAATTAGAAGCTCCTTTGAGCAGAGTACTTCTATTAAAAATACATGCAAAATACGAGTGTAAATAGCTATATGCTCATAAAGCAGCAACATTAAACAAAGAACGATTCTTACATGCAATAAAGAATAATCTAATAGTGGTTGGGTGTTGGCCTGACTTAGTCGAACTGCTTCAAACGGCTACCCGTTGGCACGAACTTCAGGAACGTTTAATTTACGACTATACAGCATTGTTCATTGAGAGCGGGCTCGGGTTGATTGTCGATATTAAAAGTGTCAAGCGGTGGCTGCCGGAAATTCATTGATAGATTTAATCGCTCGCACTGAAATAACGTATAGCGGGGTTTGATTCGGGGAGTAAATTGCAAAGTCATTAATGCCGTCCGGTCCGGTTTGGTTCTTAAATCCGATGCTATTTCAGGTTGCGTGTGAGATCCTTGAGTTTAGAAATTGGGACTGATTTACGTCACTCAAATGCAGCTAAATAGTTTGCACTATATCTTATCGCTCATTTAAAAGCTCTTGCTAGGTTATATTTAGCTATTATTACCTGGGGTAATACTTTTGGCTGGTATGCCAGTATATCCTAACATAGTTCTCGAATTTTACAAGTAATATCTCAATTGATTTGTCAGATTTAAGACCGTTAGCCGCATTATCATCATCTCAGGATATTTGCCATGGTTTCTACGCTTGGCAAGTGGGTTGGCAACCACAATTTTTTATTATCTTGAGTTGTTATTGGGGAAAGTGCTGCTGTCCATCACCTGTTTCAGTTTCAGTGATGATATATTAACATATTTCTTTTATTTCATGCATTTTA